AGCAGGGGGCTCATCAAGCAAACTGCTCCACCTTGCAGTTGATGAGCATTCAGCAGTGTGATAAACAGAGAAGAATACTTTAAGCAACCCAAGAGACTGGTAATCTCAAGAGAGATCATCAACTCATCATAAGGACCTTTGTGCTGTCGTTCTCTGCCTCAGGAAGAGCGCAGACGCTCAACAAAACCTACTGCAGCGTGTCAAAGTTGTACAGAAGTGAGATATAAACAAGATGAAAAACACCACAGAACATTTGAGGAGTCGTGTCTATCATTAAACCTGAATAACAAATACACTGCAACTGCATTGCCTCGATTTGCAAAGAACATTTGTCTGCAGTTGACCACAAAAGCTAACTGGACGTTTCTCTTCTGGCCCACATTCACTGGAGATCTCATAGCTCTGTGTTATCTGCAAACTGACATCATGAGGGTTTTCATTTCAAGTGTCATTCGCTCACATTAACAGTTGAACGCTATTCTGTGCTATCGGTTACTTTTAATTACAGTGGGTAAAGAGAGAAGAGATCCAAACTGTGAGACATGGAGTATTATTAGATCTCGATCTTGATTATCCAACATATTGCTGAGTTCTCCTCAGATATGACTTTGTTGGAAAAGTTTTGTGCCATCAATATGATTATAATGACTGTGGACAGAGAGTTTTAGCACTTTAAAACCATCAATTAAATTATTTAACACATTTTTAAGTACTTTACTGTACCCTTCTAGATTTGTAATACTTTTGTATTAATGTATTTTAACCACTACTTGCAGATTTGTTAAATAAACTGGTGCTTATGTAGGGAACTCACACTGCAGAGTATGTAATGGGTAACTTTATATTTCAGAGTCGTGATCTGAAAAGTCACTGAGACCGCAGTATGGCATTTGTTGGCAGTGTTTGTCCCAAGACTGGATGTGTAGTGTGCAGCGGGTGGAGGAGCAGGGATTGGTGAGAAGTGTTGAGGGCTTTTCAGAAAGGCTGTTTTAATGAGCTTCAGATAATGAATTGTTATTTCGGAGCTCGGTGGTCAGACTGCTGTCTCAGAAAGTTGTGTGACTCAGTGATCTGTTTGTGCTTTACTCATTTACAAAATAAACATCTATTTCTTTCCCCGCTATCGTATTGTAGATCAAACTTGACTTATATAGCCTAATAAAGCTCGTTGCATGAGACGACTGTTTTAGTCCCTTTTTTAATTGGAGAGAAAGAGTGTCTGGGTCTATTTGTGGTCTGGTGCAATGTTGGAAATGCCAGCTGTCGTGCATCAAAGCCCTGCTGGAACAAACGGTTATTTGGCATGTAACTTGTTGAAATGCATCACTTACTATGTCATACACAACACATTTTCACCTATAATTTAAAAAAAAAGACAATCTACCTCACATGGACATTTGATAAAGTTTAAAAACAGTGTAATCTACATGATAATACCTTCCATTATGAAGATTTATTTTACTATGAACCAACACAAATTCCTTTTACTGCCAGCTTTCTGTGGGAGGAAGGAAAAATATTCAACACTTTCTGGAGTTATGACTGACAGCTGTGGCTGGTCCAGAGAGCGCCGAGCCAAGCCCCGCCACACAACGCATGCCCGACATATCTATGTCCATCTGGGGTCCTACCTTTCAAACCACTGCCCCCCCCCTCTTGCTCTCCGCCTACAGAGAGACCAAGGGACAAGCGGAGGAACAGCGTGTTTAGACGGGCCTCTTAGGTCTCTGAGGGAAGCATCCAAAGCCAGCTGGTCTGGCTTTGAGGTAAATCAATGGACAGACTGAAACAAAGGCAGCCGAAAGAAGAGGAAGTGTTGTAGACAGAAAGAAAGGAAGAGAGACAGAAACTTGTTGTTTCTTGATTGAAACAGCAGGTTCTGTGAACAACAACGGCAAACAGGTGAGACTAGGTGTCAGGACAGGTCTTGACACCTTGCACATCATGGAACTGTGATGCCAATTAACTCTACTGTCATTCTTGTTTATAGTGAATCTACAAGATAGTATCCTTTGTGTGATTATGTGGATTTGAGAAATTATCCCACCACATATACTGTAAGAGTCATGTTGAGGTGGAACTTAATGAGCTGATCATGTAAATCACTACCTTAGTGTTGTTTGTATTTTTTGCTCTCATCACGTCTTTGTTGCTGGCATCATTTTGGGAAGATGGGAGGCAGGGGTGTATGTTGAAACAAAACTGCTGCTGAAGGAGATGCTGAGAGCAATTTGGATCCACACTGTCAGTTGGCATCAGCGTGAACTCACTAAGAACCACCGCACAGCAGAAACTTTACTGATTGAAAACACTCCAAGAAAACAGCTGGGGCCGGCTAATTCTTTGTTGTTGTGACTATTGTTGCTCACAATGCAGAGGAAAGTGCAGAATACCATGCATGACGATAAAATGTGAGCAACATGCTGTCAAAATATTTTTTATAAAAAATTAAAAATATTTTGTGTTCTTAAATAATGCAATATTGCTAACAGGCTTTCACTTTTGGACTAAATACTTTAAGAAGACGGGAAACAATTTACAGATTTTAGGCAGGTAGGTAGACGGGTATGAAGCCTGTCCAATCATTACATTTGGGCCAAATGAAATTATTGTACGAGCTTTTACAGTCCTGCGACAGCAACAAAGGCTGGATTTTATTTTCTTTGTTTGTCAGAGCATTTGATTCAATAAATGCTGTCAAGGTGTGATGGGAATTTCAACAACAAAAAAGCTGCCCAACAAACAATTAAAAAGTAGTGTATTGTAATACAATGTAGCTGATGTGGGTGTGAGAAGCAGAAGGGAGTACTACTAATCAAGCATCACTGTGGCCACCATGGGAACAATAACGGTGCCCTTCTGGTTTAGCATAAGTCTCGATTCTTTTACTTTGAATGGGCATGCATGTGTGATTACATGTAATATGCAATTATCCTCAACTGGCAGAGATTGTAATGGACGAGTAGACTCTTATATCTCCACTGGCCTGTTAAAAATTCTGCCAGGTGGTAGTTTTGCTTTTGGAGCCTGTGTTTGCACGGAAAAGCAAAAGTGGTCCAAGGCTCGCGTAAACTGCAGGAAGAGTCAGCCCACATCGCCTCATGTGGCAATAAAGCATGCCCTCGTTTAACGTGAACCGGTGCATGACTAAAAGCCAGGAGCAGGATTATGCAGATTACATTTAATAAACTTCAAGCAATCGATTTTTAAACTCCAGCTTCTGATTTGTGAATTGTGAATTTAACACACGCACACATACACACGTGGTAAAGGAATGCAGGAACTGTGTTGGACAGGTATTAAAATCCATTAAGGACAGTTCTGACTCCTTGGCCTTGAGCCCTGAAGAGGAGGAAGACTTTTCCTATGGGACTGGGACTAACTGGTGAAAAAGGTAGCACAATACACCAGGGACCAAGCTATACTAGACTAATACAAATGAGCTCCATACAGCAGGAGCCATGCTTTGTGAAAACTCCTTCCCTTCATTAGTGAGTATGCAGTGTAATATAACAGGATGCCATTAGAGGAGGATGCTAAAATAATCACACACTGTTTTACTCCTCTGCCAGGGCAATGGTGCCATCAAGTCCCTGATTCTGGTTTCAGGGACACCAGATTGCTTTGGCTGCTATTTCTAAATCATAGAAAGAGAAGTCGTATGATATGGAAGCTGTCATTCAAAAGCAACATGACATGCCTTTGAGATGATGAGTTAAACATTTGTGCAACATGTGTAATTCATCTGACTCCCATGTGATAGCAGGTGTGGAAGCAGAGGATTCAGATCCTTTGTTCAAGTAAAAGTAGCAATATCCCAAAGTGAAGATACTGCATTATAAGTTAAAGCCCTGTAATTAGAATTTTAGTTGAATGAACATAAAAATTGTATGCAACATGAAGGCTACTTAAACTATCAAGAGGAAAAATCCTCATTATGGAGGTAAAATTACCACATTTGTGTTTGTTATAGAGATTTGTACAAAAATGATTCTGGTTTTATATACATACAATCTTAAACTACAGTAACTATGATATCAGATAAAAGTACAAAATGTACTTGTAAAATTTAGTGGAGTAGAAGTGTAAAGTAGCAGAAAATGAATAATACTCGAATAAACTGTAATAAATGTACCTATGTGAAAGGGGTAGCCCTATTAACTTGACATGGCTTTGAACTGCCAAATGTATTTATAAAATGTGTCCATGTGCATGTAGTTACTCTATCTAAACCTGGCCACACGTGCCTCCCATTCATATTAAATACATAACTGAAGCAGAGGATGATAATTGTGCTCAATTTCTATCGCACCTGCTTCCAAACGCCAGCGTAAACAGTCCAGTGAGCCAAGCACTCCACTTCCTCTTATCCTGCACGTACACGTGAGATGCTCATGTGCGAGTCATCCAGGTCCCGCCTCACTCCTCTAATTGGCTGCTCAACAGATGCCGAAGATTCTTATTGGCTATGGGACGTGCCCTTTAAACCAAATTCCATTGCTGTTGTCTTAGAGATGTGACGTCAAATGTGTCTAATGTGATGAGTCCAAGCCGAGTAATTTGGGAAAGTAGTTGTCCTAATGTTAAGTCAGTCTTAAAGAAAACATATTTTACTTCAGTAATTATTGTGTTTGATTTAATTGTGTATTTGGTTTTCGTTAGTTCTTTTGGTCAAAGTTGAGCCTGTTTTATGTTGTAACTGACTCGTCCTCGAGGCTGTCTGGAACAAAGTTGTTGTTATAAGTATTATGACACGAGTCAAACAACAGCAATGCATTAAAAAACAATGTAGCATCTATATTATAAATGCTATAAACAGTAAACTGACATGGCTCAGATTCATTTTCACTTTATTTGCGTTTTTTTACGTTTTTATTTACATTTGTACTACTTATTCTAATGTTTTGACGGTGGTTTGAGAGAGAGAGAGAGAGAGAGAGAGAGAGAGAGAGAGAGAGAGAGAGAGACGCAGTTCGTCATGTAAGGGGAGGAGTCTCTCGCTCACAAGAGGGAGACTGGCTTTTTCTGAGTTTGTCAGCTCCCCCCAAAATAGCAGGCAGCGTGTAAATGTGAACTGAAATTACGTTTATCCACTGGAGCCACCGATATAGAGTGTCTATACACGGCGACTGAGTTTGGAGTAAAGGTGAGTAACGGAAATAGAAACAATGTTGCTGAGTGTGGCAGCGCTACAGTGAGTGAGAGTAGAGGAGCGCAAGAGGGAGACGTAGAGAGGATTTGGGAGACGGAGACGTTATCTGTCTTCTCCGGGGAACGAGGGGAATGTGAGACAGGCTACAGATTTCAATTCCGTCGCACTTAACATCAGTCATGTTGAATTATCAGTTAGGTTAAACGTAATACGTCCAAGTGTGTGTGTGTGTGTGTGTGTGTGTGTGTGTGTGTGTGTGTGTGCGTAAAGGGCGCAGTCAGACGCGCGCGCGCGCTGTTGATATCAGTCAATTGCGAGAAACTTTTACAGGAATCATTGTCAACAGTAATACGCCGGTGATAAGCCTAACTGTCGATCCTTAAAGATGGTCCAGTCGGGAGGTATGAGTCTTACAACTGCCTCGCGTGTAATCCTGGGATCGAAAGTGCGGATTGTCAAACTGTAACTTTGTAAAACATGCGCGTCGTTTGGATAAAATAGTAATCAATGTGTCTATAATAACACCGTTGATCCATCACAACGAGAGCAGGCTACGGTTCACAGTAGTAGAAGTTGAAGTCTGAATTGAAACTTCTAAAAACGTAAACGTTGCCAACATACTTCAAATGTAGCACATATTTTGTATTATATTTAGAGTTTTAGAATGTTGGCGCTTTGTCAGCTTTGATCATTGCTTGACATTATTTGTACTGAAATCTAGATGGTGCGCGGTGACATCGCTACACTTGCTTATTGCCAAACATGTTGTTACCGGTGGTGTCTGTATCAGCACAATTAGCTGCATGACATCAAGCCTAAATTCATTTTATTCTGGCAATTTACCATGATACACAGTGAATCAGGCGCTTATACCTGATAGTATAGTTCCTGATTATAAGGTAAACCTCTCAGTCATTAGTTTATTGAAGAGATGATGAGGGTTAAAATAAGCTCAGCTGAAATGTTCCTACTCGGGTGAATACATGTGACATATTTTGGAGCTTATTATTGTATTGATAGACTTATTTTTATTTTTAAAGTGACAGACTGTGGGACAGTACATTTCAGATAAGCTGTACGGTCAGCCTGGTCACAGAGCTTGTGAGAGAGGATCTTTGAATCTGTGGGACTCTTGTGACCTTAACCCCTCGCCAGAGTGGGCAGTGGCCATCAGTAACCCGACCTTCTCAAATGTTTTCTAGTGTATGCGTACACTGTGCACATCTCATTAATATTGTACCGAAGTAGAACACTATATTCAGTTGTAGCAGAAAATACAGCTATCATAACCTGAAATTGTGCTCTATTCACTTCTCCTTTACAAGTTAATTCTTACTTTGGAAATTGTTTGGTTGTCTGACATGTGTCAACTCGTAAAGTGTGTTTGGTGTTCCTGTACAGATGAAATACAGTATATTTTGTAGATCGGTAAATCCAAACTGCAATCAGCATCCATAGAAGCTGTATATCCAGTCTATTGTTTATTCTTATTATTATAATATAAAAATGATGTCTTTGCCTTTTACCCCAGTAGTAAATATTTTACTATATATCCCACAGTTACCAGGGCGATCCAGTGACACATTTTATCGTGAAAGTAATTCTCCAGGGACATGAGTTTTTGCAGCACTATTAAAGGATGCTTGTATCTTTCACTGTCCATTTACTGTTACCGCTGTTCTGACGGCGTGTACATTACCATACCAGCTGGTTGCCTTTGATTTCTAAAGCAAAGCAGTATAACACCCTTCAATCTGCAGTCATTAGCTTCTGTACTGCCCCTGGCCCCGCCAGTAATGGGCCTTGTTGCTCATGATCCACATCACGTGAGCTCTTATGTCTAATGTGTGGATGAGGGATTCTATCAGCGCTGCTGAAATGAATATCATTTGACCAATTTATGTTGTGTATTAGTCAAAGGACTGAATATGATGCGTGTGAAGGCAGGCGCAGGGAGAGCCATCACAAATGTCTCTCAGTGAACTGTTGCTCTAACCTCAGAGAGCCCAAATGTTCTACCTTTGCCATTACGCAAACACACACACACACACACAAAGGTTTGATAAAACATCTATTAGATTCCACCCTGTATCATTTAATCAACGACGTGGCGATTAAGTGAAATGGACGGAGGATCTTACACGATGACTACCACTGTTTATTAAATGCTTTAGCCTTGTTACATGTTATGTTTGTGTGCCCCGGCATGTCTCTGTAAATGTGAGTAAGTGCGCGTTAGCGTCTCAGCACAAGTTCTCGGTGGAAAGGGAGAAATGAGAGGTGGCTACGGTGTGAGGAACGGGCAGCTGCAGCATCTTTTACTGCACTCCTCATCCCACTTCAATCTCGGTGTCTCAGCTTCTCCTTCCAGGAGAAATGTGGAGTGTGTGGGCGAGTCGGATCTGCAATTAACGCTGGTTGTCAGAAAGAGAATGCTGGCGTTTACACGATGCCTCTGAATCACTGAGTGATAGTCTATCTCCTCCACTCTCCTCCTCCCAGGACATTTTTCCAAGGAGGACAAAAACACCAGAAAGCTGAAAGCCAAGGATGTATCAAGTGACAAATAAGAAATAGAAGCCGAACATTCTTGGTCCAATAAAGAGGATAGTGTTTCTGTCATTGTTTGGTGAGCCAAGATGTTCTTTTATACTGCAAATGTTGCTCTAATCTAGCGATTATGGATAAAACCATTGTTTTCTTTATAACTTTAACATGATTGTGAATCTTTTGGCTTCATTTAAATACTATGGATTGTTATCTTAAAGTGAGCATTGTGTGCTGTTGACTTTTCTGGTGAAGAATGTGAACATTAAATAGTCTCTGGGTAGATGATCCAGATCTTTTCAGGAGCTGAAACATCAGAAAGGTTGCATGAGTTCAAAGGCACTACTGAGGTGTTTGGAGACTCTTAAATAAATAATTTTTTTTTTCATTTTTCTTTGTGCACTTACTTTAAAAACTGGTGTTTTGTAAAAAAAGAAAATTAGGATCACTCAGCATCTTAGTAACATGATTAAGTGTTTATTGGAGCTCTATCATCAATATGGAGATTCCAGCGTTTTCCTGTGAGACCTGGAGGTTGGATGCAGAATCTTGAGCCTGGCAGATAATGTTTTTGACCGCAGTTAACTGTAGACTGTCCCCCTGTAGACTAAAGGGAAAAGACTTTTGTGAACAGATAGCAGGCAGTTGGTGTACAGAAAACTATTAATCAGCCCTCAACTGTACATTTAAAGCAGAAAACTTCAGATCACTTTCAAGTCCAGAGACACATTTTTAATAAAACCTTTTTTCCTCTCTGTGTTTGCTTAATGTTATATAGGTCACTGTGGGCCTTGGTTATCACGAGTACCTCACTGCCAAGAGGTCCTGGCTTTAGCTCCTGTGTTTGCATGTGCTGCCTGTGTTAAACAACATCTTCATGTGCTGTGATCATGAGCCGTGGGTCTGCTTGAGAACTAGCACTGGGTGTCAGACAACATCAACTTGCTAAATACTACTTACCGTTTTACATGGGGTGGTTGATTCTACGTTAAGGAACTGTTCACTTAACCATTAAAATACAGTGTTTACATTTGAATACAGCTTTAAATATAATTGAGTCAATTCAAAAGAGCTCATACTCAGGTTAATACTTACAAAATAAGTCTTTTACTTTCCAAATATCTATAAATAAATGCCATAGATGCTGCAATAAAAACATTAAATAACTCAATATTAGTGGCTGTTGGTCGTCTTCAGTATTGTTTAAGCCCTCTAATAGCCCGGGGTGAGCTCAGAGGGTAAATGTGTTACTCGCTGAGGCACTGTTTGTATAGCAAGACTGCTCGCAGTGACCTTTCAACTGTCCTGCCCTTGACTGAGACCTCTGGTGGTTAAGCCACCCTGTTTGGCTCACTCAGCACATGTGCTGCTGAGCAGGGCAGAGCAGCTTAAGGCCACACCGTCTTTTCCTGTTGCCCCCTGCTCTTCCAAAACGAGGCCGATCGGAGGTCTCTTCACCTCCTCCACCGGGACCACACGCAGGAGAAGCAGCAGGAAGATCCTCAAGCGGAGCCGCACTCTAAACTCTGCCGTTGATCTGCTTTCGCCGCTATGACCCCTAGTCTGTCTCTCACTCCACATCCATACTGGACACTGACTGTGACTAAATACAAGTACAGAAAAGGCATGGTGTCACAAAGCCAGCGTAGCAACAGTAGCGTCCTAAAATAACACCGTAGTTGCTTTCTTGTATTCTCTAATTATAGCGTTTTTAGCGTCTGTTTGTAAAGCACCATACCATTACTTTTGACTTCCATCATTTGCTGGTAACTGTGTTAAGTTTTGACAGGCCACATTCTGTAACGGGCGGACAGAATAGCACATGCACACTATGTGGTTTGGGAGGTTAAGACTGTGAAAGCATGCATTGGAGCAAAGGGGGTGACTTAGAGAAGTCAAGTCATTTAGCACCCTCGTAAGATGCCTCATCCTCGTTTTGGCTCTCTGGAGTGCAAGAAAAAAACCACAGCAATCACACTGTGCATCATCTCGAGAGTGAGTTGGCCACATTTACAGGGCATACAAACAAAACGTGTGTGTCCTGTTGTTTGGTTAGTCATTGTTTTTAAGCTTGTTTTCTGATTGTTGTTGTTCCATGAAACTAGACGTTTGCCTACACGGAGATGTAACAATAGCGAGTGACTATGTTGTGACTCAATACTGTGGTTATATTAAGTTGAATCATCTATAGAGCAAAACTGATAGTTGAAAAGGAAGTTAAGAAAGACATCTCTTTGCTGAGTTGCATTTTATGTGAATTTTAATGAGACTCTGGAAAAAAAAAAAAAAAACATAAATCAAAGGAATATATTATAATCTAATTTACTAGATCAAAAGATCTCCCATGATTGCTAATATACCCCACTGTATTGAATGCCTGATGTTCTACAGTAGATCTTAAAAATCATCTCTCACTGGAGATTTATCTTCTCTAGCTTTGTATCAAA